ATTATTATTATTATTATTATTATTATTATTATTATTATTATTATTATTATTATTATCATTATTATTATCATTATTACTATTATTATTATTATTATTAATTTATGCATCAGTATTAACAATACTTACTCTAACCATTATTATTTTTATACTTTTGATCATTGTCACTATGTCTTATTTTGCTAAAATTTTATGAAAATTAATATATCTTAGTGATAATTTCAAATGATAAATTTGACTAAAAATTAAAATTATCATTTTGAATAAAAATAAATATTTTAGTATAAACAAACCTGGTACAGAACAGAAGACATCAAGATAATCAACAGTATGAGATGTTTGATTACTGTTATGCATCAATTGTCCATTCAGTGAACATGTTGTTATCATTGGCTTAGGTCTTGAACATGCTGCTTAAAAAAAGAAAAAAAAGAAAAAAGAAAAGATAAACAAAACACATCTGACATAGAAATAGAAGAGAGAGAGAGAGAAAGAGGAGGAGAGGTAAAAAGAAAACGGTAATTTATAAATACTACAAATATATGTTATCATTTCTTTTTTAGATAAACAAATATTTAATTACTTTTAATTGATTCTTTTTTTTACCAAAAATAATTTGAATTAAATGAATGATTTTTGGATAACATCATGCATATACTAATTACAATTAAAATGATTATTATATCATATTTACCTTTACGAATAACTCCACGTTGTTCAGTTATATTAGCTGATGTTGTTGATGATGATGATGATGTACTCATTTCCTGAAATGAAAAGAGAAAAAAAAAAAAGTTAATAATTGTAAAAATATAAATACATTTGAGATGAATAATTTCTGATATTAATTAAATTTGAGATGAATAATTTCTGATATTAATTAGTATAGTATACACTTTTAAAAATATATTTTTTCTTCCTTTTTTTTATAAATGGGAAAAAATTCGAAAATTCAAAATTTTTTTTTGTTCAAGATTTCAGTGTTAAGGAAACTTTATTTTACTGTATATTTAAAAACCAAAAAAAAAAATTGAAAGAATTACTGTATCAACACATCCAGTATCTGCAACAATGTTATGATGTTGTTGTTGTTGCTGTTGTCGTTGCTGTTGTTGTTGTCGTTGTTGTTGTTGTTGTTGTTGTTGTTGTTGTTGCTGCTGTTGTTGTTGTTGTTGTTGCTGCTGCTGTTGTTGTTGTTGTTGCTGCTGCTGTTGTTGTTGATGATGATGTTGTAAGGAAGCGGTTGAGGGAATATGTTGTTGAGATAGATGTGACATGAAAACCGGTTGTGGTCGACCGGTAACCATCAAATATTCTCGTCCATTTGGTACGTTAACCTAAAAATGACTTTAGCTTGTCAATGAATGATTTAAAAAAAAATATATATGTTAAATAATACAGCAATAGGTACTAAATTATAAATAAAAATTATATGCCATTGTTTTTTTACTTTTAAATTATTAATAAAAATTAACCGAACTTTTTAGATTATTTTCCCTAAATTTAAATTTGAAATTATTCAAAGAAAAGAAAAAAAAAGAAGGATGATAAAAAATGACACTGTAATGAACATTAGCTTGTTGTTGATAGCATGTGACACGTGTAAGTTCATTTGTTTGTTCACGGAATTGTTCCGATGTAGCACTAGTAATACTAGTATACGGTTGTAACTGAAAAC